CATACTTTTTTAATTTCCTGATAACTATTGATGCATTTCTTTTATATTTTTAATCAATTTTTTTTCTTGTGAATTCTGAGTGAGAATCGAGATTTTTTTTTTTTTTTTTTTTTTTTTTTTTTTTTTTTTTTTTTTTTTTCCTCTTCATCTTCTGCTTGTAACTCCGCCCAAGTTGTCATCCTTGCGCATAATATCTTCCTGCTGGCATTTGGGATGATCGATTTTTTGGTACGCTGCTTGGATGCGATCCCCGCGTCCTTTCCTTAGTGTGACATGAGGTGTGAGTGTGTGAGGATACCCGCAGGATCTCTCTCTGGGTTCGCTTGCCTCCCCGCGCCGTCGCCGAGGGCACCGCCGCTGCTCTCACGTTCTCCCGTGTGAGGTGCGGGGGAGGGGTCTGGCAGTGAGAAATTTCAAGCTGTCGTGTTTTTTTTTCGTTTATTGTCGTACTTGGTGTGATTTTTTTTTTTTTTTCGTGCGATAGTGTGAGAGTTTTGGGGAGTTTTTTGGAGTTTGTGAAAGGTGTTTGGTAAAAATACGAAGGGGGGGGAGGGGGAGGAGAGGAAAGAATTGGTATAAAGTTCGAATTGTATGTGGATTCTCTTGTTTTTTTTTTCTTTTTCTTTTCTTTTCTTTCGTTGGGGTAAATTTTTGTGGTATTTCCTCTGGTTTGTTAGTGTGTTGTAGTTCCTCTCTTTCGTGAGCAGTGTATGAAGTCACCCTTCGAAACGTTGAACTCTGAATGGCTAATTTATCCTCATTAACTCATTTTTACATCACCCTCTCTCTCTCTCTCTCTCTCTCTCTCTCTCTCTCTCTCTCTCTCTCTCTCTCTCTCTCTCTCTCTCTCTCTCTCTCTCTCTCTCTCTCTCTCTCTCTCTCTCTCTCTCTCTCCTCTCCTCTCTCTCTCTCTCTCTCTCTCTCTCTCTCTTCTCTCTCTCTCTCTCTCTCTCTCTCTCTCTCTCTCTCTCTCTCTCTCTCTCTCTCTCTCTCTCTCTCTCTCCTCTCTCTCTCTCTCTCCTCTCTCTCCTCTCTCTCTCTCTTCCTCTCTTCCCTCTCTTCTCCTCTCTCTCTCTCTCTCTCTCTCTCTCTCTCTTCTCTCTCTCTCTTCTCTTCTCTTCTCTCTCTCTCTCTCTCCTCTCTCTCCTCTCTCTCTCTCTCTCTCTCTCTCTCTCTCTCCTCTCTCTCTCTCTCTCTCCTCTCTCTCCTCTCTCTCCTCTCTCTCTCTCTCTTCTCTCTCTCTCTCTCTCTCTCTCTCTCTCTCTCTCTCTCTCTCTCTTCTCTCTTCTCTCTCTCTCTCTCTCTCTCTCTCTCTCCCCCCTCTCCCTCACCTCCTCCTTCCCTTTACCTCTCCTTCCTTTCCCTCTTCCTTCCCTTTCCCTCACCCCTCCTTCCCTCTCCCTCACCCCCTCCTCCCTCTCCCTCACCCCCTCCTTCCCTCCCCTCACCCTCTCCTTCCCTTTCCCTTCACCCCCTCCTTCCCTCCTCCCTCACCCCTCCTTCCCTTCTCCCTCACCCCCTCCTTCCCTCTACCCTCACCTCTCTTCCCTTCTCCCTCACCCTTCTCCTTCCCTTTCCCTCACCCCTTATCTTTCCTTCCCTCCTCCTTCTCATTCCCCTCCTTCCCTCTCCCTCACCCCCCTCCTTCCCTCTCCTCCCCTCTCCTTCCCTCTCCCTCACCCTCTCCTCTTTCCTCACCCCCTCCTTCCCTCTCCCTCACCCCCTCCTTCCCTCTTCCCTCACCCCCTCCTTCCCTCTGTCCCTCCACCCTCTTCCTTCCTTTCCCTCACCCCTCCTTTTCCTCTCCTCACCCCCTCCTTCCCTCTCCCTCACCCCCTTCCTTCCTCTCCCTCACCCCCTCCTTCCCTCTCCCTCACCCCTCTCCTTCCCTCTCCCTCACCCTCTCCTTCCTTTCCTCACCCCTCCTTCCCTCTCCCTCACCCTCTCCTTCCCTCTCCCTCACCCCCTTCCTTCCCTCTCCCTCCACCCTCTCCTTCCTCTCCCTCACCCTCTCCTTCCCTTTCCCGGCACCCCCTCCTTCCCTCTCCCTTCACCCTCTCTTCCCCTCTCCCTCACCCCCTCCTTCCCTTCCCTCACCCCCTCCTTCCCTCTTCCCTCACCCCTCCTTCCCTCCTCCCTCACCCCTCCTTCCTCATCCCTCACCCTCTCCTTCCCTCTCCCACCCCTCCTTCCCTTTCCCACAACCCCCTCTTCCCTTCTCCCCTCTCCCTCACCCCAACCCCAAAACACCCCCAAAAACCACCCCCAAACCAAGCCCCCTTTCTCTCTCTCTCTCTCTCCTCTCATCTCTCTCTCTCTCTCTCTCTCTCTTCTCTCTCTCTCTCTCTCTCTCTCTCTTCTCCTCAAAAAAAAAAATTCCAAAAACCTCCCAAACTCCAAAACACGACCTCCACGACACACACATCCCTTCCGCCCAGCACTTTCCTCCCCCGAAGAGAAGCGGTGGAACGGAGCCGCAGGGGAAGGGAAGCAGCCAGGA